ACTGGTTTGTTTTAGCTTTTTCTTTTTAAAAATAATTTCAATTAGAAAAGTAGATAAATAGATTAGTAATAAGTAAACCAAAATTGTAGCTTGTTTTAGTATCACACACTAGAGGTCCTTAGTTCAAACCTGGGCTTAAATATGTTATTTTGCTTTCCAGCTACATTTCAATTGCCATGATTTTTTGTTTTTGTATTTTTAAAACATTTATTCTAATATTCTAATATTTATGCAAAATACTTTCACCAAAACCAATTATCATTACTAAGTATTTGATTCTCACTCTAATTCCTATTTCCATGTGTGAACAAAACACACCTTAAGATTACCTAGAAATATTTCAAGTTTTCACATAATAATAATAATAATAATAATAATAATAATAATAATAATAATAATAATAATAATAATAATATGATTATATCAAATATACATACACATGTGTGTATATTTATATTTTTTTTTGAAAGCAAACACAAAGTGCAGGTAAATTAATTGAGCAAAACGGAAATAGAGTCAGGCGGGACTGAATTCCAACACAACGTGCTAGCCTGAACGGAGGCCGTAGAAGTAAGAGTATGAGCTAAAACATTGTCAAGTCTAAGTACTAATTTAATAAAACAATGCGTAAAAGTGGACATGGTAGTCCTACAAAAATCAACCATGAAACCCAGGTGAGAGAGTAGCGTTGTGCCGGAGGAAGTCAAGTAACCCTGTAGATTTGAACAGTCCGTGTATAGCTCGACCGACAACACATCCTGACTTTTGAGGCATGAGAGGGCCTCCTTGCATGCAAGAGATTCGGTCATTAGGGGAGAAGAGCAGTCCGGAAGTGGTCCACTAGAGGCAGCCACGAACCCTCCTTCCGCCGATAACAAAACTACTCCGAAGGATGCCTTCCGAGACGACTGGTGGAATGTAGCATTGAAATAACATCTGGGTAGCGTGTTAGGCGTGAGGGCAGTGCGAGGATTGGATGAGGCAGCTACTAAAGTCCGCCGCTGATGTACCTAGTGCCACGCCTTCGTGGTGGCTTCTGCCGCTGCCCAAACCCGCTTCGGTAACATAAGAGATGCCTCCCAGACAGGTTTGTTTCTTGTCTTCCATATATGATATAGTACTGCCACAACCAACACAAGATTATCCTCATTAACAACACTCAATGCATGAAAGAACCACACTGGAAAGTTATTGGCAAATATTGTAGAAACAGGCAAACAAAATTCACGCCAAACCAACAAGGAGAACTCACACGAAACTAACGCAGGGCCGTCCCTGGGCAAGTCTGCCCAATTTGGGGGCCCCTTAATTATTAAAAAAAAAAACATAATATATGTATTAGGCTTTAAGCTTCAACACGGAAGGCTACAGTCTACGAACAAAGCCCACATACATTGTATTATTGTAATACAAACGGCAAACCTATTAAATATTAATATATTATTCTAATCTAAAGACTAAAGTATTAAGTACGACAAACAGAAAGAGAGACCAGTCAGACCGCATACACAAGACGATCGACGTCAAGCAGCTAGCCTAGGTATTTGAACAAAGACGAGACTCATTAGAGACAAAACTACAACAAATTGCTTATTGCCTAGCAACATAGGTATTTGAACTTTTATTCTTTTAATTTGAGGGTGCAATTTGTGAATTCTTATATTCTATGTATTTGAATCAATTCAAATATTGGAATTTTTAATTTGAATGTTTGTGTATTTGAACTAGATTAGGTAATTCAAATTTGAGAAAACCGACATATATATTCTACTCGTGTGCTATTGGTTCTTCAATTCTCAAATTCTCAAGTTCTTCAATTCTCTTGATAGGTAATTATACGTATTATTTTACAATTCTTGTTTATTATTTTATTTACATGACTTAATAATTTTGATTTTAGAATAATATATTCAAGAATTTGTTTCTTGATTAATTATTTATTCATAGAGTTTCTAAATAAATTTTTATTTTTTCTTTAGAATTGTATGTCTTCTAGAAAATATTCATCTGGGTTTGAGAAGCGTAAAAAGAAAAGAAGAATTGAGCAACTAACTCAATCTCAAAAGGGAGCTCTTGAAAAATTTATTACAAAAAAAAAAAAAAAAAAAAAAAAAAAAAAAAAAAAAAAAAACTCAAATAGATGAGCAAAAAGAGAGATGAACAGGTAGTGATATTGACGGAAATGAATTGTATATTGAGCTAAAATTGCGTCTAAGTGTGCACGACGCATGTCCCATTTTAAATGAAATTTTAGACGTATTTTTTATATAATATTTATATTTTAAATTTGAGTTAATGAACAATTTGGTCTCTCAATTATTAGCAAATTGCCAATGTTGCCCCTCAATTGCTTATTCATCGATTTGGTCCCCGAAAATAATTATTTTTAGTCGATTTAGTCCCTCAGGTCGTCTTCTGTCGATGGCCGGAGGGACTAAATCGACTAAAAATAATTACTTTCGGGGACCAAATTGACGGCCGGAGAGACTAAATCGACTAAAAATAATTGTTTTTGGGGACCAAATCGAATGAATAAACGATTGAGGGACTACATTAACAGTTCGCTAATAATTGAGGGACTAAATCGTTCATTAACTCTTTAAATTTTTAACACAACTTTTTGAACAATTATTATTTATATATAAAAGTTACTTGAAAAAGGGGGGCCAAATCAAAATATTGCACAGGACCATAATTTTTATTAGAACGGCCCTGAACTAACGCATGCATTATATTTTCATGAACCACTCCACACATAGGACATAATGGATCCACATCCACCCTCTTTAAAATCAGGTTGGTAATGGTAGGAAGGATACCACTCAATGCTTTCCACAAGAACGTCCTCCATTTATGGGGGGCTTTAATTTTCCATAGAGTGGTCCAATTATTAAAACTATTAGGGGAGGTAGAGTAGTCGCCAACCACGTGCCTGTAGCCACTTTTCACTAAATAACAACCCTTAGGGGCATCCTTCTGGTACCAACCATCCTCATATTCAGGGCAAATGGGAACCTTAACAATCCGGTCCCTATCACAAGGCGTAAATATATCAGTCAAGATGTCTAGGTCCCACGTTTTGGTTTCTTGATCAATTAAACCAGCAACTAATGAACCTCTCAACTGCTCAGGCATATCAGTCTGAATCATAGGATCATGATCATCCAGAAGCCAAGGCTGTCCCCAAATTAATGTAGATTCCCCATTACGATCCTCATCCTAATACCACCACGAACTAATAAGCCTTGCGATGCCACAATACTCCTCCAACAATAGCTAGGGAAATTACCCAAAGATGCATCAATAAATGAAGTTATGGGATAATATCTTGCCTTATACACCCTAGCAACCAAAGAGTGAGGTTTAGTTAGAAAATGTCATGCCTGTTTCCCTAACATTGTCAAGTTGAAAGCCTGAAGCTCCTTGAAACCCAGTCCCCCAAATTTCTTAGGGATACATAATCAATCCCAGGCTTTCCAATGAATACCCCTATCACTGCCAGTGCCCCACCTATAAAGATTCATAGTATTCTCAAGAGCTACACAGACAGAGTCAGGCACTAAAATAGAAAACATAGGCATAGCTTGAGCCATAGTTTTTAAGAGAATTTCCTTACCCGCCTACGATAAAAACTTCTTATTCCATGAGCCAATTCTTTGTTTAATTTTATCCTTAATGTATGAAAATGCTGCCTTTTTATTCCTGCCTACAAAAGATGGCAAACTCAAATATTTACCAAAATTTAGAGCCTAAGAACCCCCCCAAAACAAGCGCAACACCTCTCTAACTGCATCCACTGTGTTCTTGCTAAAGCAAACACTGGACTTATGGTAGTTTACTGCCCGGCTAGACATATACTCATAATCAATCAGACACTGCTTAATAACCCCGGCTTCCAGAATATTAGCCTTGAAGAAGAGAAGACTATCATCTGCAAAAAACAAGTGAGAAATAGGGAGAGCCCCTCTAGCCACTCTACATCCGTGGATAGAGCCTTCAGCCTGAGCTTTTTGTAACAGAAGAGATAGACCCTTTGCACAATAATGAATAAATACAGGGAAAGGGGATCACCCTACCTGAGACCCCGGGAAGGAAGCACACGTCCACTGCTTTCACCATTGACCAAGAAATTGTAAGAGACAGTAGTGACAAAATTCATAATCAAATCAACCCATCTCTCCACAAAACTCAGGGCTAGCAACATCTTACGCAAGAAAGACCACTCCATCTGATCATAAGCTTTTGTCATATCCAGTTTTAAAGCACCCCACCCCACTAAGCCACACTGCTTCCTATTCAGATAATGCCCAACCTCAGCAGCTAAAAGAATATTATCAATAATGAGACTATCAGGGATAAAAACACTCTAGGATTCAGAAATTACATCTTCCAAGAGAGATTTCATCCTATTCGCTAACATCTTAGCCATAACCTTGTAAACCACAATACACAAGGCGATAGGCCTAAGTAGGGGTGGGCGTAATTTGGATTATCCGAACTAGTTAATTACCAAAATGGTCCCTTGACTATAGCGAAATTATCGATTTGATCCTTGACTATTTTTGTTACTTAATTAAGTCCTACAACTATGAAAATATTAACCAAGTTGGTCCTCCGTTAGGTCAACCATCTAACATCTGTTAATTATGAGGGTATTGTGGGAATTTCACTTCTCTCCCTGGGCTGCCCGGGCTGTCCATACTTTGCAATTAGAGAAAACTGCAGAAGCTTCATTCTGCTTCTTCTTTCTTCTCTTCGTATGTTTCTTTCTTCTCCCATCTTAATTTCTTTCTCTCTTTCTCTTACTCCGTATATAATACGAAGAGATAGGAGCGCCTGATTTGGGGTAGGAATCTGCTTTAATTTTTTAATTTATCACTTCAAAAGCATTGACCAACTCCACCGACCTTTGTTACCTTCCTGATTTGGGTGGCTAAGAAGAAGACACCAAATTCCATTTTAAAAATGAAAAGGCAAAAGCTGCGATAACCACCGCAATGATGACGACGGCCCAAACGCATTCACCGGCCTTCAGCGCTAACGACAATACGGATGAAGAAAACCGGCCTTTCTACGCCGTTTGTCTTAATGGCATCTGCGACGACGAGAAGTGCCGGAAGTTGAGCGAGTGTGAACATTGTTTCCACGTCAACTGCGTTGATGCGTGGCCGCAAAACCACTCTACGTGCCAGCTTTACAGAGCCCAAGTTTCCGATCACATTTTCCGGCAAGAGTGTGAGGGTGGGGTTTTGGATTTGTTTGTTTCGTGGTCTCAGATCGTCTTTGTAGAGCCCAAGTCTCCGATCATGTACTGCTGTGTTTCTTCTTCCATATCCTCGCTCAGATCGTCAAAGGCATGTCGTCGCTCACTCAAGTCCTCTCCTACCTCAGCTTCCGCAACAACTGCTTCCTCTCCTCTCCGCCTCTGGAGTTCAAGCCGCTATGGACGGTTGAGCTATCCGAGTTCCCCAAGCCTGAGGAGGCGTTGCCTCCGCCTCCGCCGCCCTCTGTGGCCGTTTAGCCTCTACCAATCGCCAAGGGAAGAATCACCGGTTTCGACGGCGAGCATCCTCTGCCGAGTGTATAAATGTCGGAGGCAAAGTGAAATTCCTACACTACCTCACATTTAACATATGTTAGACAGTGCCCGAACAAAGGACCAAATTGATTAATATTTGAGAACTTGTTTAACATGAGACCGTACGAACAACTGAATACGTGCACACGTTCTATTACATTAATGCACACTAACTACTCCTAGGCATGACAGTGGAGACCCTGAGAGTAGTTAGTGTGCATTATTAGTATTTATATATATAGTATATGTGTGTTTGAGAATCTCAAACATGTTACTAAACTTAAATAATATTTGGAAGTTGTGAAGATTAAATATTATTTTAAGTTTAGAAAAATTTTATTAAATATTATTCTCTCCGTCTCATTTTATGTGTCGGGTTCGGTTAACAATGCTTGACTAAAGTTATTTTTAATTCAATTTTTCATAAAATTAAGTTTAGTATTAATATACAAAATTTATATATTTAGAAACTACATTAAAAGTACTATTACATACAAAAAATTAAATTTAAAAAGAAGCAAAAAAATAATAAAGAAATAAACAAAGAAGAAATAGTTAGTTTGACCAATGAATAGTAAGTAGGATAGATAAAATGGGATAGATGGACTATTTAATATTTGGAAAATGAGGGGAGAGAAAAAATCTCCTAAAATAATTTTGGAAAATTTTGAGGAGTGAGAAGAATCTCCCGGCTTAACTTTTTGAAAGATTTAGTAGAAGTAAAAAAGCAAAAAGTTATTTTCATAAAGTTAGATTTGAAAAGTAGAAATCGAAAAATTGAAACCAAAGAGTTAATTTTATTAGGACTCTTATATTAGTAGTTCGTTAGGACTCTTTATCTACTCTCTATATTATTACTTGTACAGACTCAGTTACGATTGATATTCAATAATCAAATCCTCATCTGGTATCAGTTTCCAGGTTAATTCCATGGCAGCCTTGGGAGACAACAATGACGGTTCTGTTCGCGATTCTTCTGAACGGACTGTGTCCGAGGTTGCTCCTGTTCATCCCCACCCGGTTCCGAGCTTATCTTCGGCGCATCATTTTGTCTCGCTTAAGCTTACCGTTCATAATTACCTTTTTTGGAGGACTCAAATGCTTCCGTTCTTGGAGGGGCAGGGTCTTCTCAGTTATGTGGATGGTACGCATGCTTGTCCAACCGGTGCAGCGCCGGTGGAGTCCACGGCGGACAGCAGCACTGCCACGGCGTCGGGTTCGGCTTCGGAGCAGTGGCGTCGGCAAGACAAGGCTATCTTGTCTCTTTTGATTTCGTCACTGTCCGATGAGATGATGCATATGGCCGTTGGTCGGTCCACTTCACGAGCCTTGTGGTTAGCCATCGAGCAGGAACTTGGATCGGCGACACGGTCTCGTGCCTTGCGGCTGCTTGGCGAGTTGCAAGCGCTAACTCAGGGGGAGTCTTCTGTCTCGGATTATCTCGGTCGGGCGCGGATGCTTGTCGAGGACTTGGCGCTTGCCGGGCGCCCAATCACGCTTGATGATCAAAATATATATGTTTTTCGCGGGTTGCGGCCGGAGCTTCGTCCCCTCGTTGCACCCTTGACGCGTGGCTCTCCGGTGACGTTGTCCGAGCTTGCGGACTACCTTACCTCTCAGGAGTGGATTTGTGCGGCTGGCGGTGGTGGAGTTGGTTCGCCGGCAGTGTTGGCCGTGAATCGTGGCCGTGGTGGCGGTCGCGGGTATGGCGGGCAGAATCGTGGTGGCTCGGGCAGTGGCTCGGGCGGTGGAGGCTCGGGTCGCGGTGGTGGCCGAGGCCAAGGAGGCCGAGGCCGGGGCCGGGGTCGGTCTGATGTGCGGTGTCAGATTTGTGATAAACAGGGGCATTCTGCGTTAAATTGCTATCGCAGGTATTCTGAGTCCCCCGGTCCTCAGATTCACATGGCTTATTCCGGAGATGTGGGTGGCTCGGTTGATTCTCATCAGTGGTTTCCTGACACGGGTGCCACGAATCATGCGACACCTGACTCCTCGGTGTTGACTTCCGCTGCTGGCTATGATGGTTCTGACACTCTACGGGTTGGCAATGGTACAGGTATGACTATACTTAGTGTTGGTTCTGCTTCGATAGCCTCTTCTAGTAAACTTTTTCGTTTAAATGATGTCTTGCATGTCCCTGGCTTGTCATCATCTTTACTTTCTGTTCAGCGTTTTGCTAGGGATAATCATGTCTTTTTTGAGTTTCATTCTGAGTATTTTCTTGTGAAGGATCTCTTGACCAAGGAGGTGCTTTTTAAGGGGGGCGCGTCGGGAGGTTTATATACTTGGCCTGTTTCCTGTCGTAGTCCTTCTGCTAATGTTGCTGCGCGTGTCTCGTCTTCTACTTGGCACCAGCGGCTTGGTCATCCACACACACGAGTTCTGCGTCAAATTTTACAGTTATCTGGTGTTAGTCAATTTAATTCTAGTGAGTTGTCCAATGTTTGTTCGTCTTGTCAGTTAGGGAAATCTTCCCGTTTTCCATTACCTCGTGTTGCTACTTCGAGTACTCGTGTATTAGAACCCGTGTATACTGATATTTGGGGCCCTGCGCCAATAACATCTGTTAATGGTTTTCGTTACTTCGTTTTGTTTGTGGATGATTTTACGCGTTTTGTTTGGTTCTATCCTATGCGTGCCAAAACCGATATCTATGCTATCTTTGAACGTTTTCGCTCTCTTGTTGAGCGTTCATTCTCTCAAAAAATAATTGCCATTCAATCTGATTTAGGGGGAGAGTACAAAAAGCTCCACTCTACGTTTGTGTCTCTTGGTATTCGTCACAGGCAGTCCTGTGCGTTTACGCATGAGCAGAATGGTCGGGTAGAGCGTCGCCATAGGCATATAGTTGAAACTGGGTTGGCTTTAATAGCTCAGGCTTCTGTTCCTTCTCGGTATTGGGATTTTGCGTTTGAAACGGCAGTCTATTTAATTAATAAGATGCCTACTCGGGTTTTAGATAATGAGTCTCCTCATTATCGTCTGCATCGGTCCCCTCCGTCTTACTCTTTCTTGCGGGTTTTTGGTTGTCTTTGTTTTCCTTTACTGCGTCCATATAATCGTAATAAACTGCAGTATCGTTCGTCTCCATGTGTTTTCTTGGGTTATCCTGACTCTTTTCGTGGCTATCGTTGTCTAGATACTGTCACTAATAAAGTCTTTATCTGTCGCCATGTGCGATTCGATGAGGCTGTTTTTCCGTTTGCTAGTGGTGTTTCTACGCAGGTTATTGCTCCGCCCCGGGCTGTCCCGTGGGGTGTTGCCCCCATTGTTGTTGATCCGGCACCAGTTCTTGCGCTGGTTTTGCCCGCTAGGGAGGAGCAGCCGGTTTCCACTCCCGTGGTCCCGGATTCAGATTCTAGTGAGCGGACAGTATCTGACTGTGGGCAGGTTGCCCGTCGTGGTCGGGCGCGTCGGGGCCGTGGTGCCAAGGTTGTTGGGCCGCGGTCTCATGTGATGGGCACACGGAGTATGGGCCCTAAGGATCATGTTGCTTTGTTCACTGCTGCTGACGATCTTGAGCCCACGTGTTACTCACAGGCCGTGCGTCATCCAGAGTGGCGTGAAGCCATGGATGTGGAGTTTAATGCTTTGCTACAGAACCATACATGGCGTCTTGTGCCTTACACTCCAGGTATGAATGTTGTGGGGTGTAAGTGGGTATTTCGGGTCAAGCGAATTGCGGATGGATCTGTTGAACGTCACAAGGCCCGGCTGGTGGCTAAGGGTTTTAATCAGGTTACCGGGAAAGACTTTTTTGAGACGTTCAGTCCGGTTGTCAAGCCTACCACGGTTCGGCTTTTACTTTCCTTGGCTTACTCTCGTGGTTGGTCCATCAGGCAGCTGGATGTTCACAACGCATTTCTGAATGGTTCGCTAGCGGAGACAGTGTACATGCGTCAGCTGCCTGGCTACGAGGACAAGACGAAACCGGATCATGTGTGCTTTCTGCAACGGTCTCCGTATGGTTTGAAGCAGGCCCCTCGTGCTTGGTTCACTCGGTTGCACGATTTTCTTTGCTCGGTTGGCTTTGTTCCTTCTAGAACTGACGTGTCATTATTTATCTATTCTAATGGTGCTGTGCAGTTGTATTTTTTGGTGTATGTTGATGACATTCTGGTCATGGGCTCGGACTCGCAGCGGGTCTCGGGAATTGTAGCCAAGCTGGCTGCGGAGTTCAAGATTCGGGATATGGGGGCTCCATCGTTATTTCTCGGCATTGAGACTGTGCCGCTCTCGGATGGTGTTCTCCTCTCTCAGAGGCGTTATATTCAGGACATTCTTAAGCGGGCCGGCATGGTGGATTGCAAGCCGGTCTCGACCCCGGTTTCAGTCATTCGGTCTGATGATGCTGACACCACTCCTTATGCTGATCCCACTCACTATCGCAGCATTGCAGGTGCCCTGCAGTACCTGACTGTGACTCGCCCTGATTTATCTTTTGCAGTTAATAGGCTCTGTCAGCACATGCAGTCTCCTACCACGGCTGATTGGAGTCTGATGAAGCGGGTATTACGGTATGTTAAGGGCACTCTTGGTCTTGGACTCAGTATTCGCAGGTCTCTGTCTTCTGCTGTTCATGCTTTTTCTGACTCGGATTGGGCTGGCAATCCGGATGATAGAAAGTCAACCAGTGGCTTTGCGGTCTACGTGGGCACCAATCTGGTTTCCTGGTCATGCAGAAAGCAGCGCACGGTGGCGCGTTCGTCTACTGAGGCTGAATACAAGGCCTTAGCTGATGTCTCGGCTGAGGTTACGTGGCTCGTTTCACTACTTAAAGAGATTGGTTTTCCGCCGGCTTCTGCGCCAACTCTGTGGTGTGACAACTTGGGTGCCACCTACTTGTGTTCGAACCCAGTTTTTCATGCCCGAACGAAGCATGTGGAGATTGATTATCATTTCGTTCGTGACAAGGTTGCCAAGAAGGAGATTCATGTTCATTTTATTTCTACGAAGGATCAACTAGCAGACGTTTTCACCAAGGCTCTTCCGTCTACTCGGTTTTCTTTTCTACGGGACAAACTCAATGTTGCAGCTGCTCCGTCATGAGTTTGAGGGGGAGTATTAGGACTCTTATATTAGTAGTTCGTTAGGACTCTTTATCTGCTCTCTATATTATTACTTGTACAGACTCAGTTACGATTGATATTCAATAATCAAATCCTCATCAATTTGCTCTTTGGCTCACATGCAAATAAATTACGCAGGCGGAATGTATATACGTACGTGAAGTATATAAACCTTGAACATTTGGTTTCTACAGGATAGTTATCTTGTGCATCCGTATGCATCATGCATGGTGCATACGGATGCAAAAACGACGTCGTTTTATTAAAAACGCGCGTCTTCCCTTAAAAAAAAAAATAAGGTTCGATTCCCATCAACAACATATGAATTAAAATTCCAGAATCGATGAACTATAATTCCATAATCAATGAACTATAATTCCATAATCGATGAACTATAATTCCATAATCTAATCTATGAACTAAAAATCTCAGAATGAATAAACTAAAATTCCAGAATCGATGAACTACAATTCCAGAATCGATGAACTACAATTCCAGAATCGATGAACTATAATTCCAGAATCAATGAACTAAAATTCCATAATCTATGAACTAAAATTCCAGAATGGTGCATACGGATGCACAGCATAATTTACCGTTTCTACAGTGCAAAGCACAGTGTTGTATATATATATATATATATATATATATATATATATATATATATATATATATAATTTCCCATGTGCGATAAATTATCAATGTATTATTTTGGAAATTGGTGTCCTTAACCACCATGTAGCTTCATGTAATTTAACTTCTCTTGAGAGTTGGCTATATATGTCTATACCTTCATTTTTGGAAAGAGTACAGAAATTCAGAGTCTCTATAATTGATCTTAGAGTGATCTGAGAAAGATCTGAGAAGAGTCAAACAAGTACTCTAAGAGAGTTGAGATGAAATGTCTTACACTCATAAAAGTATGAGAGATGAGAAGTTAATTTTATCACAACTATATTTTTTTTATGTGATCTGTAGTAAACACCGGACAATATATCTTTAGATAAAGTTCTCAGTTACACAACTTAACGGGGAAATTCTTGGCAGAGCAACCCGAGATTTCTGTATATCTTCTTGTATCTCATAGGTCTTAGTCAGGTATCTATGTTGCTTGTAAAGGGAGATTAAAGACTTATATAGGAAAGTGAGTACACGCATGGAGATGTCAAATGATGCAGTTTTTTGTTCTCTTATTTTTATGTATTTTTTGTTGTATCTCAAAAAATATTACAGAACACAAGCATTTTGTCCAACAAGAACCATATATTTTGGAGCATTGGACTAATGTGGAGTAGCTTGAAGTGGCCCAAGATACCGACCTAGGAGCGTTATGTTGTGCATCGTATGCACCATGCATGGTGGTGCATACGGATGCCAAAACGACGTCGTTTTGGCGTCTAACTTAAAAAAAAAAAATCATAATTGCATAACTACACATCAATAATTTCACTACACATCCATAATTTCATAACTATACATATAGAATTGCATAACTACACTTCCAGAATTGCATAACTACACTTTCAGAATTGCATAACTACACATCCAGAATTACATAACTATAATTCCAGAATTGCATAACTACACATCCATAACTTCATAACTACACATCCAGAATTGCATAACTACACTTCCAGAATTGCATAACTACACTTCCAGAATTTCATAACTAAAAAATCCAAAATGAATGAACTAAAAATGAATAACATAATGTTGTTGCTGGGAATCGAAACTAATTTTTTTTTTTTTAAGTAGGGCGCGCGTTTTCTGCAAAACGACGTCGTTTTTGCATCCGCATGCACCACAACATAATTTGCCACCGACCTAGGCATGCAATATGGCAAATTATACCATGGACCGGTGTCTACCTTGCATTGTAAACCCTGGTCCAAAAATAACATTCAGATTCTGTATCTATAGTTGTCACAATATGTATCTGCAGTTGATAGTTTCTGTATCTGTAGCTATCATATTATGTGTGAGCAATTATCCAAAAATAACCTTCAGATTCTATATCTATAGACTATAGTTGACATATTAATATATTATGTACCTACAGTTGATAGTTTATGTACATGTAGTTATCATATTATGTGTCAACAATTATCAAATTATTTGTTTACATGTACATAAACTAGTAACTGTAAGTACATAATGTGTTAACGGAAGGTACATAATTTTTGTATCAGGGTTCACAATGCAATATGAACCCTGGTCCATAGTATAACAATCGATGCAAGAGGCTGTGTGCAAAGCCATGATAGTGACCAAGTCTACTTGCCCACAAAAAGAAAAATCCCCTCTTCTTTATGGCACCCCACACCCTAATCCAACAGGATAGTAGAGGGGTAAATCATGATTACCCGGCGTCTTATTATGTGGTAGGACAAATATTTAATGTTTACAAGGAGCCCATATTGGGTATAACTCCTTACGGTTGCCAAGAAATGACCTAGTTTCCTTATCTCTATGAGAAAGAGGAAAGTAATTTAATTAGGAATTTACAAATTTACAAATATAGTTTAAATATAAAGTAACTAGTTGAAATTTAGGAAACATCAATTCATAATATGGAGTATTAATTACGGATAAAGTGCAAATAAATCATTCAACTATTTAGAAAATAATAATTAAGATTGAGAGGTTATGCAGGGAGGACAATGTTTGGATTTATGATGAAAAGTTGATGGAAGATATGGTGCTCAATTATTTCAAGGAAATATTCACGGAGGAAGCCAGTAGCACCCAAACTGGCAAACTTATTAATAAATATCCAGCTATTTTTAATTCTAATTTGTCTCCTTTTTTTTTTTCTTTTATTTATTTATTTATTTATTTTTTTTTTGTAGGGAAATGACAATAGAGGAAGTGAAAGAACCATTATTCGAGATGGCACCTTATAAAGTTCCAGACCCAAATGGCTTCCAGCCTTCCATGGAGGGTGGTGGGAAAAGATATCACAAATATGGTGGCTAATTTTTTTTTAGAACTGCAACAATGTGTGGAAGATGGAATGGCACTCTTCTAGCGCTAATTCCAAAAGTCAAGCAACCGGAGAGGGTGAACCAACTTCACCTAATTAGCCTTTGTAATGTCCAGTGTTGAAAAAGAAGCTAGGCACCCCCTAGGCGTTCGATTTTTTTATTTTTAATTTTAATTTTTAAAAATCGGGTTTGGCCGTCTAGACTATCTAGGTGGCCGCCTAGACTGCCTAGGCGGTCCAGCCACGGAGGAGACCGGTTTCGACGTTCCTCGACACGGTCGGGCACCGCCTAGCGCCTAGGCATGATTTTTGCAATACTGGTAATGCCAATTATGAAATTATTACAAAGGTTATAACAAATAGACTCAAGCAATTTTTGGGAGGAATTATAATAGAAGAGCAAAGTAGCTTTGTCCCCTGGTTGCCAAGTAGTGGACAATATAGTCATCTAGCAGGAAATTCTTCATTCTATGGGAACCAAAAAAGGAAATGTGGGTACAATGATTTTAAAGATTGATTTAGAGAATTCCTACAACAGACTGTCTTGGAGATTTCTTATGGCCTGGAGACCCTTATTGAGGTTGGATTACCTCAACACTTGGTCAATTTAATTATGAGATGTGAAATTAATATAGACGTTTGAATTCGGAAACGTAGAAACAGACGTTGTGACACAAATATTTATAACGCAGTTTCAGGCAAGCAGCCCTAATCTGCGAGGCACTTCTCAAATTGAGAATTTGCCTAAATCCACTAAAAGCTTAATATTTAAAGTACACTTTGTTTAGGGAACGAGGATTACACAATATGATTTCCTATCAAGCTATTGAGACCTAAACACTTGAACTACTTTTCAAGGGGATTCGGGTATCTCTCTCAATTACTCTCGTGCTCACAATTAGGTGCTGAAAGCGTATCTTGATGAGTTGTGGAGCGGCTCCTTTTATAGGTCAAGAGATGAGGTATTGGTGGGATTGGGATTGCCGATCCTCTTTGGATTAGGAATATAAATCTTAAGACACGTTTGATTAAGGATTCCTTGTTTGACTAGAATTTGACAATATGTCTTATGTCAACACTCCCCCCCCCCCCCCCCCCCCCCCCCCTTTGTCAAATTTTAGCAAAAACCTTGATCCCCTTTTTCTTTTAATCTAGAGTTGACACGTGGAGGTGTCTCCCCCTAGATAAGTGGATCTCCCCCTTAATTTGTGGTGGTAAATGTTGGAGATCATTTTAGTACTTATGTCTGTTTCTCTTAGAAGAGAGTTTGCCTGTTGTTTGGTTCTCCTAGTTGTGTCTGCCAGTTAGTATCAAAAACACAGAGAATAAAGAGTGGTCTTGTTCTGCTTGTCTATCATTCTTCTAGTTGTGTCTGCTAGTTTAGCTAATTCAGTTAGCACCAAAAACACAAAAGACAAAAAGTGGTCTTTGTCTTGTTCTGCTTGTCTATCAATCTTCTGATGCACAAAAGTGGGGACAGTCAAAAGAAGGTCTGCCTGCCTACTGGTCTGCTTTTCGGTAGGCAGCACACAAAATACACAACCACCCTCTTAGTAGACAACATAAAATACGTTTGTTTTCTCCTCCTTTTTTGCTAAAACTAGTTGTCTGGTTCTGGTGTTGAAACAGGTGTTTCAGCATCTCTTTCTTGGTTGTCTTCTTCTGATCCTTGATCTTGATTATCTTCATTTTCTGGTTCTTGAGAGTGATCTTGGATATCTTCTCCTGTTCCTTGCTCTTGGTTTTCTTCAATTTCTTCCTTTAGTACTGCCAGCCATTCTATTATTTCAGCTTTTTCTTCCTTGATGTTCATGTGTTTTCTTAGAAGATGTTTTTCTGAGGCTTCTAATTCTGTCAGTCTGCCTTCAAAGTAAGTGATCAGTGTCTTTGAGTCAAGTGGGTTATTCTTTGGGGCTGTGGATTTAAGATCATTTTGGTGGTTTCCCTTTCTTAGTTTAACAGTTGTGTTGAAGTTCTTGACAGTGGTCATGGGTCCTTGAGTCTTGAGGCCTTGTTTTGCCAGGATTGAAGAAATGAGGTTTGGAAAGACTAGGGAAGTGTTGGATTTGGTGTCTTCTGCTAAATTTGTGACTTGTGTATGAATGATGGAACCCATGTTGATTTTTACTCCTTTTCCTATTTTGTATAATAGTTCTGCTAAGGTCCATTTCACTGTGGATTCATGGAGAGAGGGCATCCAGTTTGCAAGGGCTATCTTCTGTAGGATTGCATACTTGCTGGTCAGAGAAGCTGCTTTGATTTTGTTCTTTTCAAAGCTAACATTTCCTGCTGTGAGTTCCTTGGCTACTTGTTCACTGTTTAGTTCAATCTCTTGTTCAATCTCAGATGTTCCAAGGTATCTGTTGATGATGTCTGGTGTGAAGTCATAGAAATTGCCTCTTACATATACCTTTCCATACAGAGGACTGCTAGGTGTGGTGATGGTTTTTGTCATATTGCAGTAGAACTCCTGTATAACTTGTTCATCATAAGGTTCAATATTGGTCACTGTTCCCAGGAGTTGGTTTGTGATTAGTATTTCTTGGATCTGTTCTGGATTGTCTATCTTATCTATGGGAAGCAGTTTTTGGCTGATGATTTTCCTTTCTACTATTCTTTTCCATAGGCTTACTGCTTCTTTTCTCAGAAATGTTGTACTGTGGGGTTTTGGTAGGTATGCCATGTCAGCACTAATACCTACTTTCTGTTTTCCCTTTTCCTTGCTGGACAGTTTATACCTTTTGGTGGTTGGTTCCTTCTTTTGCTTTTCTTTCTCCTTGGTAGTTAGCTGGGACTTCTTTTGGGCTCGGGTTCTTACTCTTTCATCACTATGAGTATCATTCTCTGCATTAGGTGTCCAGTCTTGTTCATCCTCTGTTTGTGTCCTTTTTGATTTCTTGGTTTTTGAGGGTTTAGGTGGGATATTTGGTTTTCGTTGAGGGGGTCCTGCCCCTATTGGAAAATCATTTGGCCTTTTGGCCCTGGGATCAGCCCCTTCATACGGGTCAGTCATCTTCCTCTTTCTAGGGTTTCTGTTGACCCGAGGAATTGAAATTGGGGTTTCTTCGATTGGGGTTTGTTCATCATTTGTAGGACTGGGGGGACGATTCACCTCATGATTTTGAGGGTCTTCTTGTCCCTCATTATCAGTCCCCCTTGGATTTTCTTCGTCTACGGAGCTATCATAGGAGCCCAGATCAGGTTCCCAGCCTTGATTTATGGCAAACCGGAGTTGTACCACTAAATCATTTGGATCAACAATCCTATTATCCCCGAAATCAGCCGCAATGGGCATGGGCATGGGGATTTCTTCACGATCTGTTAGAGAGAGATTTGGGTTACCTGGTGGGTTGCTCTGTTCTTGGGGTTCACCGAACGGTACTCTGGCTATCGGAACAGGATTCGTTGCAACATTGGGGCTTTCTTCTTCGACACATACCGGGTTTGAGGACTCTCCGGTGCCGGTGTAGTTTGAGGTACCCTTAGTCGTTCCTTTTCGTGGTAACTTTCCCATCCTTTGATTTCGTGTTCTTACCATGGTTCCTGTTGTGTGAAGGTTTGGGGTGAGTGAGAAGGTCACAGATGGGTGTTTGAGTGGAGTCGGGTAAGGATGATGATTTTGAAACAGGGCTTTTGTTTTGGATGGGAATTCGGGTTTGGGTCTTTTTGTGACGGGCCGGTTCTGATTAGTGGGATTATTTGGTGGATATGACGTTTTGATTCTGAGACAAGGCTTTTGATTTAAATGGGAATTTGGGTTTGGGCCTTTTTGTGATGGGGCGGTATGATATAACAAACATGGGCTGGTTTTGATTAGTGGGTTTATTTGGTGAATATGGCCCATGTGTTTTTGTTTGTTTGATGTGTATCATAAGATGCATAGGCCTATTTTGGCCCTAAGCTTTGTATACCGGTTTCCATCTAGTGCTTTGGTTAAAATATCTGCTAGTTGTTTTTCGGTACTTATGTGAGTAAGAATGATGATTTCATCTTCTACTAATTCCCTTATGAAGTGATGCCTGATGTCAATGTGTTTTGTCCTTGAGTGTTGAACTGGATTTTTTGAGATATCTATTGCGCTTTTATTGTCGCAGTGGATTGTCATGGTTGTTTGTTGTATTCCATAGTCCTCTAGCATTTGTTTCATCCAAAGTAATTGTGTGTAACAGCTGCCTACAGCAATGTATTCAGCTTCTGCTGTGGATAAGGAGAAATAGAGCTTTGTTTTTTGCTGATCCATGATACTAGGTTGGTGCCTAGGAAAAAACATCCACCTGACGTGCTTTTTCTGTCATCTATGTTACCTGCCCAGTCAGCATCACAATAGGCTGAGAGGTGTTGATTGGTATCAAAAGAATACCATATTCCTAGGTCAGATGTCCCTTTAACGTATTTAATGATTCTTTTGACTGCTTTTAAGTGTTGCTCGGTTGGGTTAGCTTGGTATCTTGCACAGATCCCTATTGCAAAGCTTAGATCTGGTCTGCTAGCGGTTAAATATAGCAATCCTCCTATCGTGCTTCGATATAGGGTTTGTTCAATTGGTTTTCCTTCTGAATCTCTTGATATTCTTTCTGTTGTTGGAGCAGGTGTTCTGACAACTTTGCTTTCTTCTAGGCCAAACCTTTTGACTAAATTCTTGGCATATTTGCTTTGTGATATGAAGATTCCAAGACCATTGTCTTGTTGTCTGATTTGTAGGCCAAGAAAGTAATTTAATTCTCCTACCATGCTCATCTCAAATTCTCCTTCCATGATTGTAATGAACTGGTCTTTGTAGGTTTTGAGTGATGATCCAAAACCTATGTCATCTACGTATATTTGGGCGATGACAATGTTTTGCCCATAGTGTTTGACAAACAAGGTTTTATCCACACTTCCTCTCTTGTAGCCCTTTTTAATTAGAAAGTCAGTGAGTCGTTCATACCAGGCACGTGGTGCTTGTTTTAGGCCGTATAAGGCTTTATTCAGTTTAAACACATTTTGTGGATAGTGAGGGTCTTCAAATCCTTTTGGTTGTGCAACATAGACTTCTTCCTTTAAGTATCCGTTCAAGAAGGCTGTTTTTACGTCCATTTGGTATAATTTTATCTTGAGGATGCATGCTATTGCTATGAGAAGTCTGATTGACTCTATTCTGGCTACTGGGGCGAAAGTTTCCTCAAAATCTGTTCCTTCTACTTGGGTGTATCCTTGTGCTACTAGACGGGCTTTGTTTCGTATGATGTTTCCTAGCTCATCTGTTTTATTTTTGTAAATCCATTTTGTCCCTATAATATTGGCATGTTCTGGTTTAGGTACTAACTCCCAAACATTGTGTCTTTCAAATTGTTGTAATTCCTCTTGCATGGCTTCCATCCAGAATTCATCTTTTAGGGCTTGCGTGATGTTTTTGGGTTCAATTTTCGAGGTGTAGCAGTAGTCATAGTCTCCTTCTTCCATTTTTTGATAGTCTCGTTTCTTTCCTCTAGTCCTGATTCCTTCATTTAGTCCTCCTATGATGTTCTCTATTGGATGATTTTTCTGTACCCTGGTTTCATCAGTGGTGTGGATTTCTTCTTTTTCTTCAAGGTCTACAGCTTCTTCTTTTTCTAATGTTTCCGGTTCTGATTTCTGGATGTGTGGTGTTGGAACTGCTGTTTCAACACCAGTTATCTCTTCATCATTTTTTAGGAGATCTTCTGTTGTGTCATTGACCACAACATTGATAGACTCCATGACAGTGTTTGTCCTAAGGTTATATACTCGGTATGCCCGGCTGTTTGAGGAGTACCATAGGAAGATTCCTTCATCTCTTTTGATATCAAACTTTCCCAATGGTTCTCTATCTTTTAGAATATAACATTTGCTTCCAAACACATGTGTGTGTTTTAAATTCGGTGTTCTTCCTTTCCAGATTTGATATGGTGTCATGTTGATTTCTTTTCGAATGAATACTAGGTTTATCAAGTAGCATGCTGTGTTAACTGCTTCTGCCCAGAATCTTGATGGAAGTCTTTTGTGATTTAAGAGGACTCTTGCCATTTCTTGGATGGTTCGATTCTTTCGTTCAACTACCCCATTTTGTTGTGGTGTTTTTGGTGCGGAGAACTCATGATGAATTCCATTTTCTGTGCAGTATTCTTTGAATTTTGTATTCTCGAACTCTCTTCCATAATCACTTCTTAGGCGAATAATTTTTCCTATTTTTCCCTCTTTTTCATTTTGAATTTTGATAATGAGGGTTTTGAATGTTGCAAATGCTTCAGATTTTTCTCTAAGGAAGTTTACCCATGTGAATCTTGAGTAGTCATCAACTGTTACATAGACATATCTTTTTCCCCCTATGCTTTCTGTCTGAGTTGGTCCAAACAGGTCCATGTGTAGTAGTTCTAGAATTCTAGAAGTATATATTCCTGAGGTCTTTTTATGGGCTGTTCGGGTTATTTTGTTTTCAAGGCATGCATCACATTTTTTGTTATCATCTATGTTAAGTGTTGGAACTCCTCGATAGGCTCCCTTCTTTAAACCCTTTTTCATGTCATGAAAGTTTATGTGACCCATTCGTTGGTGCCATAGCTGTGTTTGATTGACGGTTGTCTGTAGGCAAGATAGATCACCATCCCATGTGTAGCATTTATTTGTGGATTTTCTTCCGATCATAACACATTCATGATTATGATTGAGAACATTGCAACTATCTTTTGTGAATTCCACTTTAAGTTCATCTTCACATAGTTGACTTATACTAATCAGGTTTGCTTTTAACCCTTGTACTAGGAAGACTTTTGACAGTTTTGGCAGTCCATGTACACTCAGGATTCCATTTGCAACAATTTTTCCTTTTCTCCATCTCCAAAGGTAACATATCCTTCATCTTTATAGTGTATGTTCTCTAAATTCTCGGGATTTCCAGTCATATGTCTGGAACATCCACTGTCAAAATACCATATATCTTGCTCTTTGTTTGTTTTGGAAGTGTATGCAACATTTTGGTCTTTTCTTACCCAGATTTTCTTGCTGTTATTTCTGTTGTGTGGTGGCCATGCCCTGCTGTTTTGTCTGTAGTAATGGTCGTTTTGTCTTTTGTAGCAATGTGCTTTGATGTGTCCTAGTTTGTGACAATAGTAGCACCTTATTCTTCTTCGATGTCGGAAGTGCTGTTGCGACACTTCCTGTATTTCAGGTTGGTTATTCTCATTGGTGTCCGTGCTTGGAGTCTCGGGTCTTTCGGTAAGCTCCTTAACTTCTTGTAGCAGTTTTGTTTCTCTGTTCTTGAGGTCAAGGAGTTCGTTCTGGGCTTCTTTGTATTGTTTCTCTATTCGTTCCTTTTCATTCTTTAAATAGTGATTATCTTCCATGAGTTCCAGATTTTTCTTGATGATTTGCTCCCATTTGGCATTTAGTTGAGTGTATGCCTCTAGTAACTCTTGCATGTCATCACTATTGTTGTCTTCATGACTAGCAGTGAATGCTACGAAGTTCGTGTTGTTATCATCTTCTTCACTATCTGAGTCATCGCTCAGAGTTGTTATATATGTTTTATTTTTCCTTTTCAAGTATGTAGCACATTCTGATTGAATGTATCCAAAGCCTTTGCATTCATAGCATTGTATTCCTTCAGTAATTGCATTATCTCTTTTCCTTGGATTGGATGGTTTCTGATTTGTAGAATTTACTTGGTTGTTTGAGAAACTTTTATTCCTGGATTTGTTGAACTTCTTGAGAACTCGGTTAAAGTTCTTTGTTAGTAGTGCAATTGACTGTTCCATGGTTTCTGAATCAGTTTCTGAGTTCTCTTCTTGTTTGGATTGTAATGCTATTCCTTTACCATTGTTTTTCTGACCTTGTAGCATCTCCAGTTCATAGGTTTGAAGATTTCCTATTAAGTCACTTAGTCTGTATGTATTCAGATCTTTATGTTCTTGAATAGCGGTGACCTTCATTTGGAATCTTCCGGGTAGTGAGCGTAGAACCTTTTTGACGACCCTATGTTCGAGTATAGGTTCGCCTAGGTTGAATGCATCTCCGGATATACTTAAGACTCTGGCACTGAATTGGGTGATGCTTTCTTCCTCTCCCATTTTCAGGTTTTCAAATTCGGTTTGTATCATCTGAAGCTTAGATTGTCTTACAGTTGTGTTTCCCTCATGATGATCGCACAATATACTCCACGCAATTTTGGCTATGCGTGTTGATGCAATTAGTTTAAAAGTATCTTCGCTTACTGCTCCATATATTGCATTCATAGCCTTTGAGTTGAAATCATATTCAGTTTTCTCTTCTTCGCTCCAATTAGTTCTAGGTTTTGCATTCCCTTTATCATCAACTGGAGTTTTCCATTCGTTTTCTATTGCATTCCAGACGCCTTCTCCTTGTGCTAGAATGTATATCTGCATTCGAGCTTTCCAGTAGGAGAAGTTTGTGCCAAGTAGAGCCGGGGGTCTATTGTTTGAAAGACCTTCTCTTGGGAACTCCATTTGGATCCTGCTGGTAACTTGAGCAGACCCGCTCTGATACCAATTGAAATTAATATAGACGTTTGAATTCGGAGACGTT